TGGCCTGGTCTGCAGCCTGGCTGGGCTGGACCTGTGCCCAGAAGATTCCAGTAGGCCCCAGGTAGCTGGGCCTCTGCAGCTGCTGCTGGGCCACGTTCGGTTGTGCCTCCCAACTGTCTGTGTATATTGCTGTGAATGTGTCCCAGGGCCAGCTTTTCAGAAAAGGCCTCAAAGGCCGAGGAAAGTGTTTGCTGCTCGGGACCTGGGTTCCCTCAACCAACTGACGCGAAGCAACTGCTGAACCCCAAATACGAAATTCGCAGCATTGGGCCTCTCGTGATTGGTTAGGCCTGCCTTCACTTACGGTGGGCACACTTGTATAAGGGGCCCCTTAGGCCTGCCGAGGAGCCAAATCCTCGCAGGTGGGGACGGGGGGGGATCTAAGGCTGGAGTGCCGGATGCCGACCAACAATTTGCAGATCGCCCACATGGTGTTCCAATCCCAATATGCCCTGGGCTGTCTGCTGGTAAGTCATTTGGAGATCGCTCATGTTGCTGTTGTTGTTTTCATATTTTTAATACAGCTTTCTTCTTCTCAAATAAGGGGGACAAGCTGTATTTACTACCCTATTTTCTTCTCTCAATCTTGTATCATCCCTCAGACTAGCTGCCTCTCACGTATCTAGTATGGAGATTAACCTTGTCTTTGCACTAATCCGACCACAAACCCACTACACAGCCTATGTAATTTACTGATCCGGAGCCAAAGCAACCTTGATCTACCAGTGGGAAACAAGCTACTCTACAGGTTATGGGTTGCACCCTATTTTTACCTACAGGGGGCAAGCGACTCTTTCCTCCCTGGTCTATCCCAGCCTACCTATCCCCCCCTCAGGGTTGAGCCTTCCCAGTTGAGCCTATTCCCTCAAGGTTGAATCTAACCCCTAGAGCTGGAGAGAAGCCCTGCTCTGCTATGGGGGCGAACCGTCTATGTGACGAGGCAGAGGAAGAGCAGCGAGGCTGAGAGAGAGAGGGAGAATGAGAGCACACACACACACACTCACTCAACTCGACCCAGACTCGACACGACTCGACGGACGCAGACACCAAGTGGCAAAGTCGCAATGTCGCAGTCTTGAATTTCCGAACACAATGTCGAAGCAAGTCACACTGATGCACAAGCACTGAGGCTGAAAACTGAATGCCCGTACTGGGCTTGAGTCCGGTCTTAAGTATCGGACTCAAGTTCAGTCTGGAGGGCAGAAGTGCAAATGGCCTCAGGACTGAACTGAGAATCGAAGGTCTGAGTCTGGGCGCCAGGATGCCGGATGGCGCCAAGTGTTCGAAATCCGAAAGTCCAAAAGGAGGAATTTGAGAACAGGCGCCAGGATGCTGATGGCGCCAAGTGTCCGAAATCAGAAAAGCAAAACAAAATAAAAAAAAAGAAATAAATGCAGCAGGTTGGCGGGTGGTAACCTGTGGACCAGGAAGCGAGCCCTGGCTGAGTCCGTAACACTATCCCCTCCCTCTAGAAGGCAACGTCCCGGCTGCCAAAAGTCATGAAACAATGCTGTAGTCTGTGAAGGACGGGACGGGGCCGAGCACTGGTCAACAAGTCGAAAGGGAAGAGGGGTATAATGTGGGTGGCATGGGCTGCGGAGTAAGAGGGAACAGGGTTTATTACCGGTGAACTGGAAACAGGGTTATCCTACTGATGAACTAAGGGGACTGCAGGGAACAGGGTAGTCCTATTGATGAACTAAGGGGACTGCAGGGAACAGGGTAGTCCTATTGATGAACTAAGGGGACTGCAGGGAACATTGTAGTCCTATTGATGAACTAACGGGACTGCAGGGAACAGGGTAGTTCTACTGATGAGCTAGGAGGTTCAGGGCAAAACTGGTTACGTGACAACAAAAAAAAAAAAAAAAAAAGTCTTGCAATGTCCGGGGTCGGGGTTGCTGGGGGTCGGGGTTTAAGGTACAGGTGACGAGTTCGGTGTCGTGGTCCATATGAAAGTGTTGAAAACAGGTTGTGGAGAATGTTGCAGAAACAGTCTTCTGCAATTCTTGTGATGTAGACGGCGAGGGCTTCGGCTTGATTGTCCCAGTAGCAGGTTGCGTCAGGTGCACAATCGGATGATGAGGTCTGATGCTGGGATCTGATCCGGATAGCAGGTCGCAGACTGATCTTGATGTCCTTGTCAAAGTTGCTGCTTCAGAAGTCTGCGAATGCAATGTGCCGGCCGATGGGAACAGCATGGTGGCCAACCAGCTGTTTGATCTCCTCGAATTGAGCTGCAGCATGCCATCGTCCTCGTGCACTTGCCATTAGATCCATTATCACCGGCGACGCACAGGGGGCACATAGAGAGCTTGGACAAGAGAGACAGAGGTGTGGCGGAGGACAGATGGGAGGAAGGGGCAAGGCGCAGGCAAGAGCGGATCAGATAGAGGGAAGTCGAGGGGCAAGGGTTTTGGTGGGTACAGGGGTGTGTGTAGAGCAGGGGTGCGGGGGGTTTGGCGAGGTCAAGGCAGGGTTTATGCAAGGGTTTAGGGGTATCTAGGATATAGGGTGAGCACGATCATAGCCGCGGACAAGTTTCATGGCATTCTTAAGATTAGAGAGAGGTTCCCATGTAGATTCTTCGTCGGGGTATCCGGTCCATTTGACTTTGTATTCGGTGATTGGTTCCGGATGGTCCGAGACTTGGGTCTCCGGAATGAGGACTTCAGCAAAAAAAACGAAAAGCCGTACGGAGTTGTCTGAGCTTGTGTTACATGCTGCGCCTGCAACAGGCTGCACGGGCCATTTTCAGGCCCGTGTCGTTCTCGGCCCGAAAGCCTGAAAACAAGGGCCTACAGGCCCTGTGTCGTTTCCGCCTGAAAGCCTGAAAACAAGGGCCTACAGGCCCCGAGTCTTTTCAGCCTGAAACGGATGGCCATTTTCAGGCCCTCATAAGATCGACCTGCCCTGAAACTCAGGCACCAGACCAGGGTTTTAGCTCAGGCTATTTTTGGCCTATTTTCAAGACCACCTTTCTTTGAGCTTCAACCCCAGGGTCTGGCACGTTTTGGCATTGGCAAGAGCAGCCTCCTGGACGGGCCAGCACTATATAAGACTGGCCCGCCCTGCAGGCTGCAGGTAGTTCCTAGGTACTTCCCAGGCACTTCACGTGCAGTTCAGAAGGCAGGAGGTAGTCTTCAGGATTCAGCAGCAGCACTCTGGAGAAGCGCTGCAGGAGTAGTAGTAGCGCTAGCAGTAGTCTTCAGCGCTGGGCGCTAGTAGCTTTAGCAGTAGTCTTCAGCGCTGGGCGCTAGTAGCGTTAGCAGTAGTCTTCAGCGCTGGGCGCTCTTAGGAGCTAGAGTAGTACTAGAGAGAAAGAGATTGGGCGGAGGCCAGGGATACTTACCTGCAGCGCCATAGCTCCAGCTTCGCCTTCGAGGTACCTGTAGCACAGCGCCATCTTCACAGGTTAGTACCTGACACACGAGAGAGAGAGAGATTCTTCTTCTTCCTCTTCTCAGTCCACCATCTCCCTCTCACCCTCTTGCTACCTCACTTCACTGCATTAGCAGGCTATGAGAGAGCGGGCTTGGTGACATTTGGATCCAGACTCGACATTGGGCTTCAGACATTTGACGAGGGGTTATCTGGGACTTGTAACGAAGACTTGGTGTTGAGGACATTCCCATCTTCCCCCTTCTCTTTGTCTGCTGCCCTTCTCTTCATCTGTGTATGGACTGGACCTGCCGCATTCTTCCTGTGTGTAGCGCCAGGCCCCTTCACACCTTGTGATGAGGATGATGTATGTTTGGTCTGCGTTGCGACATTGATTGGGCTAGTCGTCGGTATTCTAGCATTCTGCTGCGCTGTCTTGCACTACGTGATAGAGGTCAGTCCCGGTCAGGTCAGGACTTGTATCTAAGTCTTCCCCGCGCTATAAAGCACCATTTTTGTATGTATCAGGATGTACACTGCTTGTTGAGATTTCACTTGCACTGCATTGTCCATTCAGTCCTTTTTATCACATTGCGGATCCTCGGTTATATATGTACATCGCCCAACTGGGCATGTAACAGCTTTCCATAACTCTGATTATTTACCTGACATGAACCCAACAAACAGAAAAAAACTGACTTGTCAAAATTTTGAGGAAACAACTTTCAAAGTTCAATCAACACTTCAGAGTTCAAAAAAAAAAAAA